CCAACGTTGTCTCGGTGTTGTATCTGATTGGTTGAGGGGATGACATTAACTTTTGTTTCCATTGGCCCTTTGATAAACTCCCACCATCCTCTTAACCAATCAGCTGCAAAAACAACGACTTGTTCTCCAGCATTTTTCCGCGTTGCAGGCAGTGTTCTAGTTTTTCCCTTGAGTTCTCAGTGGCTCCATGTCATATTTACCTTTGTTTTGTTTGGCCTTTGTTCGTACTCTGGTTTGGTTCTACCAGAATTTTTCTTTTCTTTTTTCTATTTAGACCATGGGAACACATTGTGATGAGGATGTAATGATGAGTAGAATGAGAGGAGATGAAGGACTGATGTGAGAGCCATGTCTCGTTCAACAATTTTACTTCTGAGCATGTTTGCAAATCGATATCTTCAATGACCGTCTGTCTATGAACTTTGTACCTTTGAGAAAGCAGAAATTATGGAGTTGTTAATCTTCTTAACTCTGTACAGTAGGAATTACTGAACGCGTGACTTAAAAGTTAACCCTCTCGCCTTCTTTTATGGGAATAGTTAAAAATAAAGTTTAGTAAAAATCTGGACTTTGTTAGCGTAATGATGTTCGCGTTTCGTTTTGTTTTGTTTTGGTTCATTATTGTTTCTTTCTTCTCGATGACACGGGACTGGGTGGCTCCATTCTTTTTTTCCCTTTTTTATATATCTGGTTGCTTTTCGGGGAGTTGTGGAAGTAACACATTTTAAAATTTTAGGGTACGCGCGCCAAAAAACTATCGAGTCCTAAAGAAATGGAGAAGGGGGTTTTTCTGGCTTGGTACTTTACTGTAATGACTTCATAAAAAGAGAACTTTAAACGTTTACCAGATTAATGCCATCTCAGCCTTAGAGAAAGCATGTTTCCGGGAGGCATCAGGAATTGCACCGTCTTGTTTGTTGGATTATAATTTAGCTGAGAACGTCTTCAAGGGTGCAAGTATTTTAAGACTCATAAAATTTGTTCTTATCGTGTATCCTGATTTAGTTTTGGCATGTCTTTTTCCCACTTTCTCTCTTTGGTCAAGTAAAGCAATGATTCTCGCAGGAGAGCAGCAATTTCAGCAATTGCAGAAATGAACCCTAGTAAAAAAATTCAGGGCTCCTCTCAGAGCGCCCTAATTCCCTAATCAACTGAGCTACGAAGCCTAATGTTGGGAGCGAGGCAAATCCTTGATGAGGCTAAATGCGGTAAATTTGGGGTACTTTTGTTTTGCTCGTTTTCAAGAGTGATATTCATTGTACTTGCATTGAAAATTTCATCCAAATGGAACCGAATGGTCTTCTTTTCTTAACATTTTAGTCGACAGTGTCTCGAGAGATGAGAAATATAGCAACTGAACTTCGCACACATCAAATAATCCAATTTTAAAAAGTGAAATTTTAACTTCAGTTCACAGTCTTTTGCATTTAAATTGAAGTTTCTTTCTTTCCCGACCGACCAAGTACCGACATTAAAGTTTTTAAATCTATCCTGGAGTGGCTATCCATAAATCTTGCTTAATTTTCCAGTCTGTTAGTTTATGAACATTACTATGGCAACGACGTTATACGCAAACTCCGCTAACTCGTTCGAAAGCAAACAATTGTTGGGTTGCCTTTGGTGTCCATGAACTTATGTTATAACTTTTATTCCGCTCGCGCTGATCTTTAAGAGGTTTCAGATGAAATATATATATCATATCCGTGAACAATGACTATATAAATTCATTCACGCCGTAGGAAATGCAAAGTGAGTGAAAGATTGATGTTGCTTCACATGTAAAATGTTCGATGACACTTCATCGCCAACTGCGTTCTAAGCGCGCGCTGTTACTCATTTTCTGATCTTATTTCGCTCCACAGAATACCGTATCCTCGGCAAGAAAGGGGAAGGAACCTTCTCAGAGGTTCTGAAAGTTCAGGATATTCGAGATGGTACTTACTATGCTTGCAAGAAGATGAAACAGCGCTATGAAAGGTAGATTTGATTTCTAGTCACGGCATGACTTAGTGAGCTGCGGCTTCCCGCACGGCCTAAGCATTGTTCTCCTCTTAAGTAAGGAAAAGAAGAGCTTTTGTTGTTTTTGTTGTAAGTTTTTACTTCAAGATGTAATGAAATTGTAGGAAAAGATTATGTAAGGTACTTACATTCGTTTTATCTTATATATTTTCTTCTTCAGCATTGATCAAGTGAACAATTTGAGAGAGATTCAAGCTATGAGACGCTTGAGTCCCCATGGAAATGTGGTTGAATTGAAGGAGATTATCTTGTAAGAACATATTTGTAGCCCTAAACTTATTTAACGAACTTGATTTTCTGGGGACAGTAGTTGAATTATGCAAATCTTCGAAGCACTAGCATGTGAAACTTAAATTTGTCGTTGAACGCGGTCACAAAGATCTTTCATCACCCCTGAGCTCTGGATTGAACATTTTAAAGCCTTTTGACCACGAATCGATGTTATTCAACAGAGTCAAATTACTTTCCGTGATATATTTTGTTTAAAATATATTCGGGATCGCATGTATATTCATTTCAATTCTACGAACAGTGATGTGGAATGGTCTAATAAGCTGTTTTTGATCTGTTAGTGCTACGGAAAGTACATGTTTTTAATAGAAGAGCAGTTAATTTACACTTCCTCGAAATGAAAGGAACAACAAAATTCTTTGAATGAGATCATTAAATTCACACGTATGATCGTGAGGTAATTCCACTCGCCGCTCATGTCAAAATTTTGCATGCTCGTTGTCAAATGTAATGGATGTTAATTGATTTGGCGTTGGGAATACTTCGTTTATAATTGGTTAGTTAATCTCCTGCAAACAATGTCGAGATGAAAACTGTCAACAACAGATTCTGTGGCGTGGGGTTTAATTGCTTTTTAGTGTTTATGGACCTTAATACCTGTCTATGTTGTTGTTGTTGTTTTTTCTTATGAAAAAAAGAACTTTCAATTTCATTTTGTATCCTCTGCTTTTGAGCGTGTTAAGAAATGATCACCAGTTTGTTAAAACTATGTGATTTGAATACTTTAGTGACAAGAAGAATGGAACTTTAGCCTTGATCTGTGAGCTAATGGATATGAACCTGTATGAAATGATAAGAGGTAAGAGCTTTTATGAGAGCATTTGTTAATTAAATTTTTAAATTTTTTTACATTTGTTTTTAAGATTTGATGGGAGAAATTTTGAGCTTTACAAATATGAAATAGTTTACAATATAGATTTTTCAAATTCTTACATACTTAACATTATCATTAAGGAAAAGAAAAATTTAAATAAGTACAATTATAAAATAAAATAGGCATAGACAACTAACTAACATAACTCCTTAAAAAACACCATATATATATATATAGTCTTGAAAACTATTTTTTTTAGGACGGCGACACTACTTGCCAGAAGCAAAGGTTAAAAACTATATGTACCAGCTTTGTAAGGCCATTGATCACATGCACAGGTAAGATTCAAGGACTGGTGAGATTATATTTGGAAAATAAACATGCATGTACATCTAACTCCTAATAATACCAAAAAAAAAATTTTTTTTCACTGCATGTTTACTTTCCATTTTTCAAGTAATAGTGGATCAAGTTGGCATTTGATGCAAGATTTACCAAGTTTTTGTATTTTTACCCTTAAACTCCAGAGATCTGATTGTTGATTCTCTCCTTTCTAGCTGCTATATATTTCTTTGTAAATTAGTTACAAGAGTTTGTTGTTAGATCAAGACAACAATGCTTATCTGATAAATTTGATTATTCTTGTGACCTGTTTACTTGTAAATCACATCTGGCAATTGAAGGGTGAGACACAGACAGTGATGAGTTATATGTTAATCTTTTATAACTGATCTCATTCTTTTAATACAGAAATGGAATATTTCATAGAGATGTTAAGCCAGAAAATATTTTGGTTAAGGTAACTAAAGGGTCTTTTTTTATGTTTTAGTTGTACATGACCTTATTAGCATGATTCAAGGGTATTTTATCTAAGTATGTTCAACAGTTTTGAATTACTGGTCGCTCTAACTTGGAGGAAAAATAAAAGAAGGAATCACTGATATTTTAATTATCTTTTGATGTCATCTTGTTCACTTAACTTATTGTTTCCTGTGGTATGGTTTGCCTGATAGAGCATCTCTAAACAATTTGTCAAGGTTATTTCATTTCACCAAAAAGTTCCATCAATGAAAGTAAGCTTTTGTTGACAATGAGAAGTATTTCAAATTCATGGTTTTCTATAAACTATCATATTTCAGGATGATGTTGTAAAATTAGCTGACTTTGGATCATGTCGAAGTGTTTACTCAAAACAGCCTTACACAGAATACATATCAACTAGATGGTGAGTTGGGTACAAACACAATATTTGCTCGACTGCATTTTCTGTGATGACTTAAAAACAAGTTACTGTACATCTACTATTAGCCGAAGAAAAACTCTGAAGAAGAAGAAATGTTTGAATAAAAGCTCTTTCCAATGAGAGTGATATTTTTGATCAAGGTTTAAATTTGTTTGGTCCATAATTAAAAGTTAAGGCTTTGCTTCGCATAAAAATTTGCAGAGAAATGTTTAAGAGATACTGTGGCATATGAGACAGCCCCTTTACTCTCAAAGTGCTGTCCTCCAATATAAATGGGTACCAGCAAACTATTATGGTATTCAATTGAGGTGACAGACGTGGTTGCCTGGGTTAGACTGCGTGTCAATTCCAGTAGAAGAAACAAGAGTCCGTCGTGTTGTAAAAAGCGCTGTAAAATACTAGGAAAAGCATTATCAGTGGTGTGGGCTCCCTTTCCCATGTGCAGAATGAACTTTTGTGAGAAAATCTAAGAGTTCATGGCAGATGTTGACTTAAATGAAGCATTGACAGTCCTTTTCAAATGCTTCTTCCACCTTATTTATAAATTATTTGTTTGTTTTCAGGTATCGTGCCCCTGAATGTTTATTGACAGATGGTTACTATACCCATAAGATGGACATGTGGAGTGTTGGTTGTGTGTTCTTTGAAGTTCTAAGGTGACTTGAGCTTAAACAAATATTTTTATCGACTATTGATTAAATTTCTTGTGTTTTTTGTTTTATAGAGGAAGGAACTTATAGGTAGACATAATTGTCAGAATTATAGTGATGTCTTGAGGATATGTGTACTGCTTTTAGATATCCAGTATGCAAAAGTGATTTTAAACTTATTTGATATGATTTCTTCTTTGCTATTAAAATAAAAGTGTACTGTGAAATCATTTTAACCAAAATTTATTATAATCTTAAATAGTCACTAGTCTAAGAGTTTCCTAATATTTTTAATTAACATAAAACACATTTTGAGAATTTTTAAGTTTGATTTGGCTTATATATGTTCAAAGGAAACATTTTTATTACTTTTATGAACTTTTCCAAAGCTTATCTTCCCAGTTAATGAATAGTATGATCTCACATAAATGAAGGAATTATTATGAAATAGTACATTTAATATTCATTATTTTGTATTCACAGCTTACATCCTCTGTTTCCTGGTTCTAATGAAGTTGATCAGATTGCCAGAATTCATTCTGTCCTTGGAACACCATCACCTAACATACTAAAAAAGTTACAAAAGTGAGTTGAACTTATCAAGTGATAATGAGTTTTAACTCTATATACTTTAATGTCAGTATGTATATTCTCCATACTGTTCTATATACATATCTTAAGGTGCTGACAGGGAGAATTTTTTTTAACAATCAAGAGCTTCTGTAGTTGGTGATCATTCCTTTATTGTTGTGATCTTAATTAATGTGTCATTTTGGGGCGATATTGTAAGGAGAAATTAAATGCTAGTCACTCTTTAGGGTTAAAGGGTTACCATAACTGGAATTTTCTTCATCAGCTCACAGCAATTTACAAATAAGCCAAATAATTTTTCTCCTTTTGCCTTTCAGTAAATCACGCAGCATGAATTTCAACTTTCCACCCAAAACAGGAAGTGGCATCAGTACGTTGCTTCCACATGATCACGTGTCTCAGGATTGCATTGAGCTCATTGAACTCATGTGTGCTTATGATCCTGATGATAGGTAATTTGAATCAACCCTTTGCACCCAAACATCAGCATGCATATTATCCATCCTGTTCTCTAAACATTTCTTAAGGTGATTATAAGGAGGATCTGTTTAACAATCAAGAGATTCTTTTGTTGGTGATCATTTCCTTTATTCTCCTGGCCTTGAAGTTTGATCTAGGGCAATATTGCAAGGAAAAATTAGATGCTAGTCACTTGCAGGGTTTTAATGTTACTACATGGCTTAATAATTTTAGGGGAGATTTATTTTGTAGATTGGTGAGATTTTTTCCTTTGAAGGAAAATTGTTTTGCCGTTGGGATGACTGATTATCAGTAACTTTTGCTTGGAAAAGATGTTGTGGGAATTTCTGTTTGAGCAGTGGAGAATTAAGGAGAAAGGGAATGTGCAGATTATTTTCCAAGTTCTCCATCGTGTCCTATAGTGTTTCCAGCTTCTGTTTGATACTTATTACTATTATAAATGTTCTTTTGCAATTTTTTTCATAGAATATCAGCCAAACAAGCTCTGAGGCATCCTTACTTCAAACAACTCAGGTATAGTTGCAACCTAAATAAAGTCAATTACAAAGAAAATAAATTAAAACTTATGAAAATTAAAAGACACACATCATTAGGAAATGAATTTGTCTACTAAGCATTTTCTCGTATGTAGATAGCCTTGATAAAAAACAAATATGAATTATGTTTTCTCTTTAAAGTATTTTGAAGAGGTTACTCATTTTGGGCTTCCAAAATATAACAGCAGGAATTTCAGTTTGATGGTTATGAAAGAAAATGTGATGTCTATAGAATAAAAATTTAATGTCCTATGTAGACCAATTAGTTTCCAATTGATTCAACTCAACAGGGAGTTAGACAAAAGGCAAGTTGCCGCCAACACAAGGTATTCATCGCCATCTGAGGCTTCAGTTATAACCAAACCACATCGAATGGTGAAAAAGAAGGTGAACTCCTTGTACAGTGTATATCTGAATTGTGTTTACAGAAAGGCTTTCATTTTAAGGTTGAGCTTTGCTTTTTCCTCTGTAAGGTTTTTCTAACACATAGTTTTTTGTTATTACCATCAGAGAAAGCATGTGAGAGGTCATGCACGTTCACCAACTGAGGTAAAGTTTCACAATTTCTGCTAGAGGCTTTGAAAAAGTATATTTATTGACTACTGATATCATGCATACAGAGAGCATAGTGTGCAAAATGTCAGTAGGTAGCATTTCGACTGTCAAAGATGAAAAGCTTGATGCTGAGATTTACTTCAGGGGTAACATCTCCATGTGTAACTGAACAGCAAACATCCTCCTTTATCCGGAAGATCAAAAAGTTTCCAATCATTATATGTGTTCTTAAAACAAGAAAGGCTTAAAAAAATTGAGCATCCTAGTGAAAAGCATGGGACTAAGAGAAAACTATGAATTTTACCATGTTGTGATAGTAAAATCAGTTCCATGCCTTCTTTAATGTAATATTTTTTCTTTGTTACAGTCTATTCTTCCAAAAGACGATGGTTTTGGCCTAACAGGAGGAATAGTTACCCATCAACAGCCGTCATTACCATCTTTAGGTGTAGGCTTCAAGACCAATACATATGGCACAACTTTACCCAAGATACCAGTTGCAACTACCACACATACAACAACTTTCCCAACATCATTTCCTTCAATTATCCATCAAGAAAAAAATAAAGTCAAGGTGATTATTTTTATTAATGGTCGCTAATCACAATCATTGACAAAATTGAAGAAACTGGTAAATACACTTGTGATAATTCTCTGAGATGGACAGCAGAGAATTTAGAAAAACTTTACTCTCAATTTAAGCTGTCGTATTTGTTTGGCTGTGTGGTCATTAGAGACAAACAAGGAAGAGAGCGATTTAGGATGCATGTTATGACTAAGATTAATGGATGGTTACAAGTATATTATTTTACCAACATTTTTGAACACTGTGATGGAGCATACAATACTACAGACCAGGATAAACCACTGGCGAGTTGTTAATTTTATCATGATAAATGTTGTTCAGTATGTATTGTGGTTTTTTTTTTTCCAGAATCAAACAAGCCAGAAGTTTGGACATTACACATTACCAGCAATTGATAACTCAAAACGAAGTGGTGCTCATGGCTTTTGAAGGAACATTTGGTTTCGGCAGAGAGATTACAAAGTCTGAGAACTATTATGGGTTGTGCACATGTATGACGGTATTGTAAATAATGAAGGCTTGCCTACTAGCGTCAGTTTTTTTGCATCTTGGCCTTGCTAAAGCAAGGCTGGTGTCTCTCAGAGATCATCAAGGAGCCTTAAAGGAGGATGTGCATTCCTTTTCCTTTTTTCTAAAGAATCAAACTGCTCTTTTCAAAAATGTCAATGAAAACCCCGTCAAAAGGAAATCAACTTAATCAAGGTTTAAACAACAAGAGGACTCTATCCTATTACAGAACTTATTTTTAATTATTTGTGATATTGAAGACAGGTCCTTAGTTTCCTGCCATCTTTATGAACATCTACATATATGTACTTGTTCAATGTTATCTTGTTATTTAAGATATTTTAGTTAGACAAAGAAATGCAAGGTATCCTATAAATAATGTACAGAAAATATTTTTATGAACAAGAAAGTATTTTTTACAAGTTCAAACATTGTTACATGTAGGTTATGATTTTAAGTAGAATTTGATTTTGGAAAAAAAATAATTTAGCTGCCAGCCCAACAGCTTTGATTTCACATTTATAAAAATGTGGAGGATACCTGAGATTCTGTTTTTTAAAAAGTTGATATATTTCCACAATATACATTGTCAGCCATGTCTAGAAAGTCTGCCCTTTTTAATTCATCTGGTGTTGTTAGTTATTCCTGATTGAAGACACATTCTTGGAACAAAAAAAAAAAAGAACACAAACTTTGAACAATGGCTCACAAACTTTGGAATAATGGGAATGGAGATTGCTGATTACAGATAAGGCCTAGGATTGTTCCTTTCTGGAACACTTTCAGGAATTTTTGTTTCCACTGTTTTCTAAATATTCTAAAAGTTTATTTATCTTTCAGTTTCAACAAATACAGTTTATTCCAAACTCCCAATGCATTGCATAATTCAGTTTTCCTTTTTTACATCTCTCAAATCTGATGTCCTTTCAGTGGTAGTTGCAGAATTAGATTGTCAATTAAAATATTTTGTGAACTAGGAGATTTTTTCTTATTTAGTGAACCCCTTCTGTATTATTTCCCTTTTGTAGGGTTCCACATTTTTTGTTTTAAAGAAAAGGTACTTTAGAGAATTCATTTGGATAACAGACATTCTACAGAGAACTGAGTTGTCTAGTAAGATCTGTAACATACTGTCAAGATCTTAACTAAGTTAATTTTTGTAAAAAAAAAAAAAAAAAGATTTAATTTAGTTTTGAATTGACAAACCAAATGTTAAGCTGCAGCAATAGTGTGGTTTTGAACTTAAAAAATAAAGGTGTGAATCTATGAACAAATTTGCCTATTACAGCATTCATTTTCCCACTGACATTGTCACCAAACCTTCCTTCAAAAGAAACTCCATGCTCATACACACATTTCTTATGCAATTTATGGAAATGATATCTGGTCAACAGAGTTCTCAAAAAAGTGCCAAAGCAATCAAGAGAGCCATACCAGACTTCATCATCATCATCATCATCATCACCATCATCATCACTCATTGTGCCAGTAGGCACATAAGGCTGTCACATTGTCTGCCTAACCCCCTGTCATGTGCTGCTGCTTTGGCTACGTTTCAGCTCTTTCACCCTGCTTTGCCTCTCTTTCTTTTGAAAGTCCCTCTCCAAGTGGTCTTTGGTCTCCCTCTCGCCCTTTGACCTTCATGTGTCCACCCCAATGCCATAAAACAGTCATTCACACCCTCTCTCCTGAGTATGTGTCCTAACCAGTTCCACCTTCTCCTTTGTACCTTGCAGCTAACTTCACTGATCTCTGCCATTTCAACTACTCTCTTGTTTGTCATTCTTGCTGCCATCTAATCCTAAGTATCCGTCTTGGGCATTGGCATTGGAAACTGTTCAGTAAGGATAAGAATCCTGATATTAAACATCCTTGCTTTACTCCTGACTTAATCTTGAACCAGTCTGATATCTTGCATCCATCAATTACTGTGCATTCAAACCCTTCCTATATGCCTACTTCCACTGTCTCTATCTTGCGTGGAACTCCATGGCTCCCTGGGATGTTCCACAAGCTTTCTCTGTAAACTTAATCAAAGGCTTTTTCAAAGTGAGAAAACTGTTCCAGTTGCAGCAAATCCATTCATACCACAGAAGTCACATAACCTTTCCCCATTATCATTCATGACTTTAACACCAAATTTCCCCATTACCTCCTCTCTGTTAATGTTGTTACTCCCTACCTTAATGTTTAGATCTCCCATCACCACAATGTTGTTGTTAATCTTTTGTCTCTCTGCTTCTTGTCTAAATATCTCTGGCAACATTTAGATATTGTGTCATCTTGAATTTTAAACAGAGGATACTACCTCAATTTTTGACCTTTCTAATAAGACATCTTTCTACAGTCTCAGATGGGGGCATGGATACTAGTGGTATAAAGTATAAGTGTTTCTGTATCGCAATTCTTTTGAGGGTAGATTAAATATTCTGCACAAATATGCTGGAGGTAACTTCACAAAGTGCTTCAAACAATTAAACACTTTTGTCTTGAATAAATCAAAGGACTTTGATCCATCAGGGTAATGGTTTTTATTGCCTTCTAATGCTCAGTATCACTCTGACTCCCCTTTCCCCTCCTATGGTGTACATCTGAGACTCATGAACAACATTTTACAGTAGGCCAAAATTTTAATTGACTAATTAAAAAAATTAAAAAATTTTCTTCAAAAAATATCTTACATTATTTAAGATGTTCATCAAAATTGCCTAGAGGATAATATAGTTCTCCTAAAATGATGCAACTACAGATTTTAAACTCCACTCCTGTTTCGGTAACCTCTGACAATAACAGGCGCCTGGAACCACAGCCATTCATCTGTGTTCGCGTTAGGGGGGTTCAGCTGCTCGTCAAGGGCTGTCCTTACACTTATCTTACAGCTTTGACCTCGGTTGGGTGGCTTGAAAGATGATTTTGGTCGAAACCATTGGACATGTGAAGATCTGCTAGCTTGTATGAAGACAAACATTGAAGTAGGGGATATATCCTTAAATGTACCGAGGTCTGGATTTGATATTAAGCTCCGTATCAGCTTACGACAAGAAGAATTGCATATTCTAGAAGAACTCTCCAAGCTGTTCCTTTCCTCAGGGTTCTGAAAGTCTAAAAGATATCGTTCTTTTGGACTAACCGGTGTTGACCCCAGTAAGATTAAGGCAGACTTGACCACTGTTGACATAAACAGCTTGTTTATATTGTCAGACAAACACTCTACATCTTCGTATACTTTCTTAGCGTTCTTGTACTCCGTGTTGAGAAATCGCCGGGTCACTGGTTGCTCTACAACATTTGTATTTATATCTTGCTTCTGTTCCTCTTCCATCATTCTTGTGAGTTCGTGGTAAGGCATCGGTAGTTGTTGCCTTTGATACAAAAGGTATTCAATGCAGCTTTTTATAAGGGCCGACTTAATGATTTGCGTGACATCTTCATTAAGATTTAATATAACTTCTACCTCTTTTGCCATATATAATAGTACCTAGAGAAAGAAATCGTCTGCTAAAAGATTCCTAAACAGGCGTCCTTACGAATTTCCACGGCCCGTTTTCGTTAGTCAAAGACGTGCCCCGAAAATGACCCCAAGATTGGATATGGAACGCCTGTCACTTTCTCGCCGTGATGAGTTGGAACAAAATGGCGGACACTCACGAAGAAATAGTCCCTAGAGAACCAACCTCAGCTGTGTTTTCCAGGGCAGATTTCATGAAAGAGTCTTTTAGTGTTGACAGCTTCGTTGGAAACTGCAAAGGGAGTGTACCTTTGGAAGTGCTAAAATCAAATTTAGACGAGTATTTGAAGGCCTTGAAACATGCATTGATTGAGTTGATCAACGAAGATTACGCCGACTTTGTGAACTTGTCTACAAACTTGGTGAGTGTTTCTCTCGTTTTAGTGAAGAAATAGAAACTTTTCTGCAAGAAAATTATTTGTTAAGGTACGAGATGTCATGGTTTACAGGCTAATCTGTATAAACAGGGGATGAACGGGGAAATATGTACTGAAGCTTTTGATGATTTAGGGGTCGTTTTCGGAAAATTTCTGACGAGGCTTGAGGCCAGAGGTCAGATGGTTCCCAAGGGAAATTTTGATGACCTGAGTTACTTTTTATTCAGACGAGTAGAGTAGTCTTTTGTTATATGATCTCTTTTATTTTGCTACTAGTCACACTCCTTTACAGAAAAGCATGATATACACAGTGATGCCAACCTCTGGACATCTCAAATCTGGAGATCTCTTTTTCAGACCAGAACCCCCGTGACCGAATTTGCCAATGAGATTCGGCCCTGGAAAATTTATTTTTTATTTGGACCCCCTACCCCCCCCCCTCCTGAGCAATTTTGCAAGAAAAACATGGATCTATCTGTCAGGGACTTAAATAGTTGAATACTCATCCAATCAGACTCTCACTTAAATCGGATTGACAAAGAAAAGACTCTCTTCTTTTTGAATGAACAACATGTTTCATGCAAGAAAATGAAGCCAGAAACTGTAATACAAGCATAAGAAGCTAGATGATTTTAGAATTTGGGAACATATGGAGCTTAAATCTTAGTTTTTTGTGAGCAACTGATCCAAACTTCCTTTTATTTGGGAGTTTTGGTCACCTGTATGCAAGAGTGGGAGATTGGCTCTGTAACTGCGAGACTCACTGATAATCCAGGAGAGTTGGAATATATGTATACATTTAAAAAAAGTGCTAAATTTGAGGAAAACTAACTAAAAGAAACACTAGAGGTTTACCTGTGATGGAATTGCATCCATGTAAACTTCTAGTTACCAGATCTTCCCAACTGCAGACTAGGGATATGCTCTGATAGCCTGGTTTCTGATCCAGAACTTACCAAAATTTTAACTTCTTGGATAACACTTTACACATTTTTATAATCATTGAATACATTTTAATTATAATCGTGGTACTTTTTAGGATCAAGGGCCACAAGTTCATCAGTTGAATTACTGTTGTGTGCTACCCACCTTAAATAAAGTTGTTTGTTTGTTTGTTTGTTTATTAGGTTGGAATGGATAAGAGTATTGCCAACTTGTCAGTTCCTCTTGGTCAACTGAAGGAGGAAGTTTTGGTGAGTATATTTGCAGAGAGTAAACTGTAATCTTTGTTTAGAATTGGATTAATGAAAGAAAGTTAATGGGAATCCAAGATGTTTGAAGGTATCACTCTTCAAGTAGATTAAAGTAATTTGACTGAGTGAATTTTGTTTCCGTAAACATTGCAATTGTCTATCCCTCAGCTCATAAAGTCTGACCTTGATGGAACAATTGGTGCAATAGAAGACAAATTGGATGAAAGAGCACTGCTAAGACAGACAAAGGTATCATAAAAGGACAACCAGTCATATAGCTTGTTTAACAAACTGTAGATATCAATTTTTATGAAAGAGTAATCATGGTAGTTTTTTGGTCAATAGATTTCTCTTCTTTAGGGATTTTCAAGTCACTGAAAACAGAGGAGCCTTGAAACTCGTATTTAAAAGATAATTCTTTTGGTAAATTTTTTTTCCTTAGAAAAAGAGTGTTTGGGTTTAGATATTTTCATGTACACATTTTGGGCATAGTCAGTAATAAATGAGGATTCTATGCATTAGCAGAACTTTAAAAAGAACTTTGCTATTGGAGTCTTGCTTTATTTTCATTGCAAACTTCTTATTTCAAATCTTTACTTTTCATCCAAGACATGCATGCAACATTTATTGAACATCACAAAGTCACTGGAAAAGATTGAGAGACTCTTACAAGGATCCCGCCTCTCTCAGGAAGTGACAGCTAAAGAACCTGAAGGGTGCGTAAAAACTAACCTTTACAAGTATTTTGGAGAATTTTTCACTTCATCAATGCTAAATAAATGACCTTTGTATTTGTTTTAGGGATGATGACTCTCATTTGATTGAGAGAGTTGCCAGTGAATTTAATCAGCTGCAGTTTTATGTTACTCAGAGTCAGGGGCATCCATTGGTGGAAAGTATCAGAGGGGTGAGTTGTTTGATTGGTTGATTCCTGAATTAATAAGAAAATGTTGCATTATGTGCAGGAACTATGCAGATAGGATATTTTATTGCAAAAGTATCAAACTGGCACTGGTTAAGTTTGGATGTTATTTCATTACCTTATTCTGCTAGAATGCTAGTGTGACATGGTAGGAATTGAATGTTGTCATAAGGTAGGAGTTTAGCCTTAATGCATTAAATAACTTCTCCTAACATTTCAATACTTTAATCAATAGCAAGGTAATGAAAATATTTAAACCAGTCAGCAAGTGGTTGCCAAATTCTTCCATCAACTGAATTTGTTTACTACCTCAGAAGCAGCAGCAAGATTTTAACACAAATACTTATTTTAACTGTTTCTTTTATATTTCCTTGAAAAGCGCATTGCTGCCATCACAAGTACCCTTCAAAAAAAATTGGAAGCAGCATTTCAAGAAGGGCTCCAAACAGGAGAATTGAATCTGTTGTCCAGAGTGCTAAGAACTTATGCTATCATTGACAAGACAAGAGATGCTGAATTGTTGTTCAGAGAAGTTACTGTTAAGCCATATATGAGCGAGGTAAGATCTGAACAAGGCAAAACCTCATTTAGCAACAAGGGGTACTGCTATTTTATCTAGATTTGGTGCTAGTCTGGTTTATGTTGTTGGTCAGATTTCTGCAGTTGTTCACCTTTTTATATCAGGAAGTAACAAGGGTTACTGTTATGCCAACTGCAAATTCAGGCACTTCAGGACAGTTTACCAACCAGCATTTGTCAGCTTTACCATAGTTTCCTGGCATTCATTACTCTTTTGTGGAAAGCAGCACTGGTAGACTTAATGTGTGTCTTGCCCAAGAACACAGCTCAATACTTCACCAAAGTTGAGACCAATGCTTTTAGCTCACAAACTCTCAAATTGCTACATCTCCTACGGCAGTATAAATTGGATAAGTTTACTAACTTTGTACAATTTCTCTTAAGGTTATTGATGAGAAGATGTTGACTGCAGATCCCTCTCAAGGTCTGTTCAATGTGTACAACAAAGTTCTTGAATTTGTCCCCAAACACTGTGCACAGATGATGAACATAACATCAGGTAGATTTGTTGCCAGTGATGTGGAGATGTTTGGTGAACAGAGAGCAGGAATAAGAGGCTTTGATTTCTTAGTGAATGCTGTGTGGCCTGAAGTAGTGGGTCTCATTGATGCACGGTTTGGATCAATCTTTGCCCCTGGTAATCCAGATGCATTCCATCAGGTATTTGATGATAACAATGATAAAATAATAAAAACAATAACAACATCAATTGACCACTCCCCCAGTGGGGCTTTTCAAAGCCACCACAATCCAATCTCATCATAAATGAACTTTGAACTTTGAATTAGACTTAGAGTTAAACAATCCTGACTGGCCTGAGGCAGATCAGTTGGCCATATGCACAGCCAAGGAGTTGAACTCTGGGCAACTGAAAACAAATCAATTGAGGAGCTTGGTGGAGGTCTTGAACAGGAGATTTCTAGATTACAAGTCCAGCTCCTTACCCATTGGCTACGCTGCCTCCTTTATAGTACCATTAGTGATTTGTTAGTCTGCATAGCAGGCTTGTTTTTACTTTGTAGTGTGTCTGGCATTCTGTCATCTTAACAAAACTACTTTAATTAAAGTGATCTCAAATTTACGCTGCAGAAATACATGACCACAATATGGTTTATCAACAAGTTTGAGGGTTTGTGTGGTTCTAAAGCAAGTGTACAAAGACTGCGGTCACATCCCAGCTTTACAGCTTTCATGGCAAGGTGGAGTTTGCCAGTCTATTTTCAAATCAGGTGAGTGTAAGATTATAAAATTGTATCTTGTTTTTCTTTCAGTTTTCCATCATATTATATTCATATTTTTGGTCCACAATTTTCTGACTGAAAGTAAGTGTGTTTTGCTCCTTTCTTTTATTCATTTTTAGTGTCTTGTGTCATTTTAGGTTCCAAGAAATGGTAACTAAGTTTGAGAATTCACTCCAGTTGACTCAAGACAAGACAAAAGGTACAGTTTAGTTCATTTGGTTGAAAAACTGTAAGTACTCTGCATTACTTGGACGGGAAAGTCTCAAACAAAGGAAATAATTATAGGTAGCTTTAGGTAATAAATTTTTTCAATCTGGCTGACATGTTTTAATTTCATCTGGTACAAACAGTACTTGAAGTCTCAAGGAATTAGAATGGAAAAGGGAATTGTTCTCTGTTTTGTTTTGTGGGTTTTTCTCAGGACATATTGTGAATTTGTTTACAAATTATTAGAACCATGAAATAGATTTTTTGTGGTACAAAGTGAATAAAAGTCTGTTTTAAAGAATGGTACATCACTTTACCACAGTTATTACAGCTATGGCAGTCAACATGTCATTTTGCGAGTTGTCACACATTAATTTCTGCTCATCACAGATGTTCTCTTGGACTCTGACCTATTCTTGACATCAGCTGTGAGCGTCTTGTGGTGGTGCATCGAGAGATGTTGGCAAGACTCAGTTTACATTCAGGCCCTCTGTCACAGATTTTGGAAGATGACCCTACAGGTAAGG